CACGCACGCACGCACGCACGCACGCACGCACGCACGCACGCACGCACGCACGCACGCACACACGCACACACACACACACACACACACACACACACACATTCAAAACCAAGACAATGAAGCATTTGTATTACCGGTATTATAGGTTTTACTAGAAACCCATGTATCACTTCACTTTATTAGGTCCCCAAAGGGCAGGTCATTTACAGTAAGTAGTGATGGTGATGACAGCCAGCACATTCATACAAACTTTAAACATGATAAAATGAATAAAAACAGGAAAAAAATGTACATTCAGAACAAGATTAAAAATACATAAAAACATTACTAAAAAGGAGAGAGAAAGAGAGAGACAAAAGAGTTGGACTGTGATAATTCAATTGTAATCCAAGGATAAGGCCTTAAATCTATATTTTGTTTAAAAAAACAATGACTGTGAGGATGAAGGAGTTCTTTAATCTGTTCAATCTACACCTAGATAATAATAATACAAATAAAACATTTTATTTGTATAGCGCTTTTCTAAATACTCAAAGACGCTTTATACGAGTAAAACATAAATAAATAATAAAATCAACAATGCATAACACATAAAAACAAAGTAAAACATTTAAAAAGGGCAAACTTAAACAGGTGTGTTTTGAGTTCTTTCTTAAAAGTGGAGAGATTGAAGCAGGCACGAAGCTGTTGGGGCAGAGAGTTCCAGAGGGTGGGGGCAGCGATGGAGAAGGCTCTGTCTCCCCAGGATCAGAGCTTGGTCCTACAGGGGACAGACAGAAGGTTGGCATCGGAGGAGCGGAGGGATCGAGAAGGAGTGTAGTGATGGAGTAGGTGGTCAGGTATGGAGGACTTTGAATGTGATGAGGACGATCTTGAAATGGATGCATTGAGTGACAGGAAGCAAATGGAGTTTCTGAAGGACAGGAGTTATACCACAGGAGCAAGTGTGGGTGAGAAGGCGGGCAGCAGAGTTTTGAATATATTGCAGTTTGTTGAGAGGTTTGGATGGGGTACTGTACAAAAAGCTATTGCAGAAGTCAATTATGGATGTGACAAAGGCATGGATTAGGATTTTAGATTTTTCCAAGATGGCGCCGGTGTGTAGGGCTGCTCGTCTCTCGCTCTCTGCTTGTATTGTATTTTTGTTAATTTTACAATGGTTGGTGCAGTGTGCCGAGTCATATTTTCAGTATGATCGTCGGGCACTTTTGGAGCTCTGTACATTTGCTGGAATGCCTGCAGACTTTTTGTACAGCGGTCAGCACTCTCCTCCACCGGTCCTGTCTGAGATTCCTGCGTTCCTTCTGCGTGACCCTGGCCTTTCTCCATGGAGGAAACGTCGCAGACGTCGTGGGAAGCGTGCAGAGATTTTGGTGAAACTGAGGCAAAGAGTGGATTATTCTATCAGGACTCGCTCTGGATCTGATCATCTCCTCTCTGACCCGTGGTGCTCCTGGGGCCCGGCTGCTGGCCAGCTGCCCGCACGCTCAGTCCATGGAAACACCTGGAGTTGTTTACCTGTGCGCCGCACCAGCAGACCAGGAGGAGCTGTTCTTCATAACCAGCGCCCACTGGCGCGCGCGTCTCCATCCACGGCTGTGCCTGTGTCGGACCCTATCAGGATGTGTTTAATCAACGCAAAGTCTGTTTCCAACAAGACGTTTATCCTCAATGACTTTTTTTAAAGATGAGGAGTTGGACTTTCTGTTCGTCACAGAATCCTGGATTTCTGATGGCGAGTCTAGCGCCTTGGTGGAACTACTACCCCCGGACTATCTGTGTTTCAATGCCCCACGGCCATCAGGTCGGCGCGGGGGGGGGGGGGGG